TGTACATAAAGGCCAGAGCTGTATTTTTAAATATATAAGTATATTTTAATTATACTGTGTAAATTCACAAAATTGTAGGTAATTTACAATAACATAAGGCACATATTCTATGAGCTTCAGTTGAAAATACAGCTTTTAATATCCTAAGGTCCTTGGAGAAAGAAACATTTTTGGTTTCTCTTAGCAAGTACTGTATTTAACAATTGGATGAATGCATGAAATAATTACATAGTTAAATATACAGTACAACCTTTACATAATAGTTTTGTCTTTAATAAGTTCACTATTTTAATAAATCAGAATAAAGCATACAGGTGTAACATATTGTCTCCAAGTTTTCAAAGAGAACCTCAACCTTGGATACATATGTTGCCTTCTGTTGAGTGAGTACTTTTAAGAATTCACTGGCCAGGGGCACTTGTGCCTGGAATCCCAGCTACTGGGCTACTAGGTGCCTGAAATCCAAGCTACTACAGAGACTGAGGCAAAAAGATTCCAAGTTCAAGGACAGCAGGAGCTACACAAGGAGAACCTAGCTCAAAAAAGGAATTCACTGACCACTTAAACTACCACTCCCACACTGAGTGTATCTCTTATTAAGCCTCAACTCCAAAATGCCCTTTTTTTAAGTTCTAATGAAAAATGTACCTGAAAGAACTAGCTACTGCTCTGTGAGCAGACTGATGGCTTTCCTCGTTGTTCAGCAAGCCAGCTCCAGTTAAGCTTGACTCATTTTGAGAACAAAGGCGCTCACACCTCTGAAGGCCACCTCAGCAGTCCTGCTTGAGTAGGCCAGCAGGGGTTAAGGAGAGGCCTTTCCTGGCAGGAACCCTGAAGACTTACACTAATTCTGGATCTGTTTCACAGGAATTTCAACTGCCAAATGACTTCTTAAAAGGTGGCAAAAGTTTAATAATCCGTGCAACATTCAGTAAAATACAGGGGACCAGAAGGAAAAGGGCTGGAAAAACACAGAATCAAACTGCCATCAGTACTTAGGCTTCAAAATGGGTTTCTGAACGTCACTGGGTTTCTAACTGTGTTCCCCCATCTGGGCTGCAGTGTCAGATCTGGAGAAGGAATGGGGGAATCTGGGCACCCCAGCAGGTGTGTGGCAGGGCCAGGGACCACCTCCTGCTCTGCATCCTTGGGCTGTAACTTAAGGAGCGCCATCTGCTTGGCCTGCTGTATATTATTACTATAAAAACTGGAGGTGGAGAGGGCCTGACGCAAGCCTCACGGGAATACCCACCCTACCGTCCGGCCAAGGCCAGTGCTTTGTCTGTGCGAGGGGCTTCCTCAGAAAGCGGCCGCCTTGCACTTGGACTGCTGCTGCCTCCGAAAAGTTACCACAATCTGTGCTCATGAAACGGTCCCTGAAAACCACAAGACCAAATGCAATTAACCTTTCCCTCAAACTAGTGTGCAAAGACTTTTAAAATATCTATATGTTAACTAAGTTATTAGATTCAAACGTAAAGACTAACTTTATTTAAAAAGACATTAAGATTATTTTTCTGGGTTTAGGGATCTAGCTCAGCGGCCCAGTGCAACACTCACACTGGCAAGTGTGAGGTCGTCAGCTCAACCCCCTGTATCAAAACAAAAAAGCCAAAGAACAAAACACAAACACACAAAACGAATTTATTCCTGTGGGGTTTCACTTCAAAAGCTGTCTTGGTTCTCGACCACACCACTGCTCTCCTCCAGGGCCGAGTCCAAGTGCAGGCGGCACGCCTAGGACCCCGAGGCAGCTTCTCTAAACGTCATGCAAGGAGCTTCTGTTTGGAAAGCAGGGTCCTGAGGTGACCCTGGGAAAACCGCTGCTGCCTCGTTAGTGCAGTGCCGGCCGTGCACTGGAGGGCAGTCCTCCCCGGGGTCCCGGTCCATGTCCGTGACCCTGACCTCTGCAAAGGCTCCTGCGCCTGTCTTCATGGGACGGCGACAGCACACACCACCAAGCACACAGCTGAGCTCTGTCGCCAAGCAGCAGCAGCGTCGATGCCCAAGGGCCACAGGCCGAGAGCTGCAGCCGCTGCGGAGATGGATGGGGCTCCGGCAGGAGGGAGGGCGGCCGGCCAGCCCGAGCCTGTCCTCCGCACTCCCCGGCTCTGGTCTCCCTCTCCGCACAGACCACTTTCTCCCTCCTCCCACTCCCTCGGCTCGTGGTCTCCTGAACCGCGCTTTCACACCAAATGCCTTTCCCGTGTTCCTAACTGGGTCTACACAGAGTTTCTTCCAAAGAATTCACCCGCACAGAGCACACCACTGCCAGAAGGAAGGAATGGAGACTGAGCAGCTCCTCCAGCGTGGGCAGACAGCTGCAGGCACAGTGGCTGCGCCTGCCGGGAAGGGGTCTGCTGACCCTGCTCAGAATTCCGTCCGATCCCACATTTGCTCCAAGAACCTCACACGGAGAGGGGCGCTCCCGAGCTGCTGGCCTGGGCAGAGGGGCGCAGACTCGGAGAGACGGGGAGACCTCAGGCCCGGGGCCTGCCCCTGTCTGGGGAACCTGGCCTGGCTTTCCTGCTATACCCTCGGTGTGTGAAATCGAGCCAAGTTCATCTACCGAGGCACACAGTTCTCGAGGTCTGGATTTCCCCACAAGCACCACAATATGAGGATTTCCCACAGAAAATCCAAGCCAGTGCACTTTCCTCCACATTACCTTTCAGCTACATTATGTACAATTAAATAATCATAAAATATGCATTTAGTCGATCACCCATTTTTAGACAACATAAAAGAAAAACTGTGCTTATTCCCAGCAACTTACAATAAAGGCAAAGAGTTTTTAAAGGCACACCCAGGCACTGAATATTACTGCATAACCTGTACAGCCGTAGAGAATGTACATTACTGACACAGCATGTGCCCACAACACGAGCACACGGGAGTGATAACTGACAATACGTCCCTGTGCGGACCGAGCTCAGGGCGCACATCTGATGAGCTGCTGATTCTCAGGCCAGGAGGAAACACCCACAGCATCCCCATCTGCCTCTGGAGGAGCAGCCACTACGAAGCAAGGTGCTGCAGGTGCTTCCAAGACAGTGGAGACTCAGCACTCCTGCACTTGAAAACGAACTGGATATCTGACATTAAGAAATTAATGGTTATATCTTAGGTATGCATAATGGTATCTGGATCAAACATTTTTACCTTGCTTTTGGTTTTGCAGGACTGAGGGGTTAAAGCCAGGGCCAGAGCTCTACCACTAACCTACTGGTTCAGAGAATTTAAAACAGTGCTCTTGTTCCACCTAAGCTTTTGCTACTGTTTTCCCCTGAAATGCTGATTGTAAGCACTTGGGGACAGAATCTACCGCAATACTTAACACTGAGATGACAGGGAATGAATCCATCAGGTACGGAGTGTCCCCTATCTTCAGAAAGCTTCAGATCTTTCAGGTTAGAGCACAGGTTCTCAGGTGTTTCAGGTACAGATGTGACAATATGATACCTAAAATTTTCTAGGATTTTTCCAATTTGAAGAAGGCCAGCTGGGTGTAGTGGTGCATGCCTGTAGTCCTCGAACTCAGGAGGCTGAGGCAGGAGCATTGTGAGTTCAAGGCCAGTCTGTACTATACATCAAGTTCAAAGGCAGCCTAGACTGCTGGCAAGATCCTGTCTCAAAAATTAAAAGAATGGAAATTAAAAGGTAAAAAGTCTACATGCTTTTGGTAGAAATAAAACACATACCCCAGAAATTTGACTATCTTCATACCAATTACTCTGACTGTTTCTTGTGCACGTAACTAGGAAAAGCACCCATTAGCCAGCCCCCCGTTAGATGCCACACCCATTGGACGGCATGTGTCCCCGCGTACTCAGTGAGCGCAGCCACTGACTTGCCGCCCTCTGCGGGACTTCTCCACCAGGACAGAGCAAGCTGAGAGCTGCCATCGGGGTTCAGCTGCCATGCCCTCTCCTCTAGGAAGCTCCTGTCCTCTCACCCAACCACGTACATCTGCAACACAGCTTCTTGCCATGCTGCACTCCCCACCTGGGGACCCTTGGTGATGCCGATGCCTGGACCCCAGGCACGCAGAGCTGAACACCCCTGGGCCTGCTCCACGTTCCTCCTAGCCCACCGGGACCAGGCCAGCTGCACACCTGGCTTTACATCACCACCTCAGGAGCCCAAGCTGCCCTCAAAAGGCAACTAGAAGGGACTCAGGGCTCCAGTCCAGCACACTCTCCGGTCCCCTTGTGCCTCCACCACTGCCCCACTACAGATTTCAAAACAGAGGTCCCTTCCTTCAGATCTTTGAATGCTACCTCCCTGACTGCAACGCCCCAGATCAAGTCGGATTCTCTCCCCTGGAGCTACTCCTGGATGGGATTTCAGCCTGGTTCCTCCACTCAGTGTTTATCAGGAGACAGGATTCCACCCACAGAGGTCAGTAAAGCTGCGGGCAAATGCAGCCTGAACTGCTCCCTTTGAACTCACCCCAGGACCCTGGTATAGGCAGCCACCTTCCCACAGGGCAAAGCCATTCCCGCACTGGGCTACTATATCCCGGGGCCTCCTAGATGCTGCCCCACACCACAGCTCCCTGCAGAACACTATGTTCTTCTGTTGTCCATTGTTCGGTTGGGTCCGCCTTTAGTGCCTCCCTTCCCCTCACAGGGACTCCTCGAGGCAGGGCCGTTGTCTGCTCCTGCACCATGGAGGGCACAAGGAGAACTTGGTGCTCGCCCAGGACAGAACAGCAGGGAGACCACACTGGGACCAGCACTGCCACCCTGCGCCCCTGAATGTGCATTCCTTCAAAAGCTCCTCTGTCCATCCTGTGACTTAGTACAGGGCTGGACATGGGCAGTCTTCTCCCTTTGGTGTTCTGCCTCTACCTGTGGGGACCTGCTGCTCGATAAAGCGGGGCCAACACCAGCACCGGACCACTCAGGACACCCCCACGCCACCCGGGTCAGTAAGTGGTCCCAGTGCACGAGGGGCAGGCAGGAAGGTGCACAAACACCGCGAGGAGCGCAGCTTGCCTTTCAGGTCCTTCACGTAGCCTTCCTTGCAGCTGTGCATGAGCTGGAGGATCCACCTGTGCTGGGCACCAATGCACTGCCATGCAGGGTCGCCGGGTGCGTGCAGGTCGGACAGGTACCTGGAAAGCAGTCAGTGCCGTCAGTGGGCGCAGAGGCAAGGCTGGCCTAGTGTAAAACCTTCTTACAGAAAAACACAAGTTCTACTAGTTAGTAAAGCACTTGTCAATATGAGTCTTCCATTTTCAGTAAGACATATTCAAATTTCCTTTCACATAGTAATAAATGACAAAGCTGGACCGTGAAGAACAAGAGAGAACAGGCAAAGAAAAGATAGCCAGACAATGACCCGTGGGGCTGCAGGGAGCAGCTGCTCACAAAAGGTCCAGTCCCTGTGCTAAGCGCAGCACAGTGCCTGCATGGCCACTAGATGGCAGTGCGACATCGTCTTCTATGGCAAGCAGACTGCGGGACAGCTGAGACTGTGGATGGCATGGACATGTACCTATCTCTAAAGCCTAAATCTGAAACCCTCAATGCATAACCAAGAAAATGTTCTGCTAAACCGATGAAGTTTTTCTTACTTGTATGTATCTTTTTTTTTTTTTAGATATTTAAAGTCTTTTTGCATAATATACTCAAATCCAGACAGACAGTAAATTTCAATAGAAAACTTGGTCAAACGGCATTCAACACCAAGCGTCGCTCTTGAGTAATCTGGTGATACATGGTACGCTGGCGCAGGCTTCAAATCCTGGTGCTCTGGGGATCGAGGCAGGATGATCATGATGAGCTCCAGGCCAGATGGAGCAGTTTAGCAGGTCAGCAAGCCCAGCCTGGCCATGGTACTCTTGACTAACAGACATCTTGGGAGCAGTGCACCTGACTGGGCAGGGAGTCCGTGACACGTGGAGTGCTGGGAAGAGATCTGAGGGGCGTGAGGACCTCCCTGCACTGGCTGGACCCTGACCTTTAGGAGCTAGGGGCACCTGAGCTGCCCCAGAAGGGGTCCCTGCAGGAGCAGCTTGGGCGGGGCCACCACCTGCTACAGTCCCTGTGACTCCGACAAGAAGGTGACCAGTCAAACCAAGGGGATGCCCTTCCTCTCATGTCACGGAAGATGCCTCCTCCTCACAGCTGCAGACGGCATCCTGAGGAGCACGCATGACTCAACACACGACACTCCGCCGGAACACAAGAACACGCTCCACAGCCCCCAAGGCACAGTCCTACTCTCCACTCGGAAATACCTGTGCTGCTCCCCTCCACAATCTCTCTAGACAGGTCTGCTCTGCCTCCAAATACTACCGTCTCCTACCACTGTCACTCACATAACCTTCAGCCTTGGGGTCCGGAGCAAATACGGGACGCTCTTCAGAGAAGCTGCCTCCTCTCACAGCCTTATTCTGACATGATCTTCACCAAACGTCAGAAGTAGGGTCACAAGCACACGACACGCAGTAGGTGGAGCTCTGCTCCCTGCGAAGGCTGGTATGTTCCCTACCAGCATCAAGACAGAATGACAAGTGACGAGAATCAGTGAGCCCTCAACTAGATAAGACAATGAGAAGACAGCACAATAACACAGCAGCAATCTGATTTTCACGCCTCCCACCTGCTGCGCGGACCAAGCACGGACTCTGCTGCAGCAGCTCCTGGCTGATGTGAAGGCCAGCGCAGTCCCCTGTGGTATCCAAAGTCCCCACCAACACAGACAGCTGACCTGGTTCTGATCTAGGATTTTACTCATCAACGGTTAACATTTTTAATTTAAAAGGTAATCAAATTGCTTAGTGTCTTCCTAAAGCATTAAAGTAAGAAAAATGATTAAAAAATAAGTAAGCTCTTGTTGACATTCCTGTTACTGTCCATTTAAAATGACAAGAAAAAAGTGTAAGCTAGCTCACTTCAAAGCACCCCTTCTGACAGCACCACCTTGTCAACACCAGCCCGTAAGACCACATGGAGTGGCACATTTGTTATCCACATGGGAGGTAATCCACCCCAGAGAGAATGCACACTTAGGGAAGTTTAACACACGTCTGCAGCAAATCAAGGACAACAAAGCCACAGCTAAGCCAATCCACAAAGTGCTCCGGAAGGGAGAGTCAGGACACCTGTTCACACCAGCATCACTCCTGGACTTTACTTCCTTAAATGGAGAAAGGAAAGCGGTTCGACCGCTACCGTGGCTAGTTTCCAGTGTTAAATCTCTACGGTTCTGTGAGCAGGAGCCCTCCGAGAACACTCTGCTGATCAAGGCAGCACAGAGCAAAGCCTGGGAAGCTTTCAACCAGACAGACAGGGAACAGCTGGCTGTGCATGCTGGGCGGGCTCTGATCCGCACCTGCGTCCCAGTGATAATGCAAGGCCCTTTCCCAAGGAAAGAAGCAAGAATGCATGTGGCACTGTGCGGGGCCAATGGACCCCCATACTCTCCAGCAGCAGCAGTCAGCTGTGTTCTCCTTCCAGATCTCTGCCTGCCTTCCGCCCAGGCAGCCCCAGGCACTGCCAGTGACTGTAGCCAGCACCCCACCCTCCGCACCCAGGACAAGCTGTGGAGGGCACCGAAGCTCGCACGCCCAACCTCCTCTCCACAGCTGCAGGTTACATCCTCCTCTCCGGGGAAGACCACGGCTGTGCCCAAGGACACAGGCTTCTGTCCCTGTGTAACCGCAGGACGGTCGACAGACTTAACTAATTCCTAAAGAGAAGTTCTTCCATTTGAAAAAAATAACAGCTTATTCTGGGAACAAAAGCCACAATCAAGACACCCAGCAGAAAACAGTATTTTTTATCACTGATACAAAAACTCTTATGATTCACATGTTGTCACCAAATCCTGGCACAACTACATACATATAAAGTTTGCTGACTACTTACTGTGTGCCAGGTGCTATGTTAAGTCCTTAAACATCTGAGGCAGGCCCTGAGACACAGACCATGCTACCACACCTCCCTTCAGACAAAGCCTGTGGGGCAGCTCTGACATGCTGACGCCCGTGAGGACCCTGCTTCCCCGACCTGCGATGCCTGCGTCCTTTAGTGGCACTACAGCTCTGTGTCCCTGCTCCCACTTCCATCACTGGACCCCTTTTCTGCTGGTCACTAACGGGCTATAAGTCAGATAACGTAGAGCAAAACCTTCTACAGAACTGTCCCCACTGCCGGGGCAAGGAACATTCCTACGACATCAAGAACTGACCCCCAGAGCAGGACAGTGGGGACTCCTGCTCCCCGACCTGTGGCCTCTTGGGCCTCAGCACCGCACTGTCCCAGGAAGCGAGAGAACCATGGTGCAGCAGGAGCAGCAGTGACCACGTGGTGAGGCCACTTCTCCTCTGGCCAAACTGCCAGCACTGTCTTGCCATTAAAAAGTGACTATTCCGTAACTGCTCCCAACTCATCAGCATTCCAAAGAATTCTGGGGGCCCACAGAGACACCCATCAGGTTCTGCTTTTTGTTTTCTCCTTCTCCACTTTGTTGGGGTCCCTGAATTCCCTAAATTAGCTTTCAGGGCCATGTAACACAACCAATGGCAAACAGAGAGACTTGTCACCACTCCAGCCCAATTTACCTTATGTAACGTTTTTGGTCATGCAAGGTCGATGGCGTTTCAAGCAATTTATCCAGAAGTAATTCTTGTAAGGCTTCAATGCGTGTTTCTACCTCGGCATAATCTATTTAAAAGAATATATATATACACACAGAAGTTACAGAACCGAAATGTAAAGTTAAATTTTACAAAGCAGAAAAGCGCCTGCTGACTGAGAAGCACAAGGGGCCTCTGTGACCAAAACCCAGGACCTGAAACGCAGACGTGGCCTCCGTCAGAGGCTGCTGACCCGCAACTCGCAAGGTCCGTGTGTTTCCTGCATGGGAAGTTACCACAGTGAAGAAATAAATCCCACTTCCTGGGCTTCGTGGGTTTTATTTTTGAATTTAATACACCCTGCAATATTCCTCCTGGTGGATAAAGCTTTAACCACAGGGAATTTTAGGCCTGTGTTATTTTCTGTAGCTCTGGTAGGAGAAATGGTTTCAAAAAGTGTTTTGGTTTAAAGGTTAGAATTCATAAACGTACTGGTCTCTCTGCAAAGGGCAGGCTGAAATGCAGGTTTCCATGTTCACAAACCCCTCAGTTGCTTCTCTCTAGTCAAGGAAGACTTTTATAAGGGCACCACGATCAACCCACAGAAACGTCTAGACTAACTTATGTCTCAGTGGCTCGCTGTCACAGGCTCTGGGGGAGAAAAGCTGTGCATTTAAGAAGTGATTGTTTTATGTTTTAGACAAACAAAATCTAAAATGCATATAACATTCTTTGCTGCACACACCCCACATTCTTCCTGTAAAAGAGAATTTGAAGATCTGAAAGTAACAAAGAAATCTTACATTTCTTGAAAACTTGCACCTCCGTTTTCCCAAAGAGTGACTTGGCCTTTTCATAATCATTGATAACCACATCATAATCACCCTTTAAAATAAAGAAACATTTAGGAGCCCATCAGCAAAGCGTAATTCAGACATTTGGTTAATATAAAGAAAACCTTAGCAATCTTTACAATTGAGGATGGCACATAACGGTACGTAAATAAGTACTCTACCTTTTGAATATTCCTTTCAATATTTAGAGGAAGGTTGAAGAGAAACTTAAACCGCTGAAGTACATTGAGTGCATTTCTGGTAGAATCTGCCTTGTCCTTTCGACCTAACACTTCTTGAAATAATGTGTCTGCAGTATTACTTGCTCCTATTTTAAATGGAGAAAAAGAAACTTAAATAAAAGCTGACTTTTATCAGAAAATGTCTGAGGACTAGAAACAAATGTTAAGACTTCCATTACAGGTTTAAAACTCAAAAGACCGCTTTCTTTTTTAAAGTTAGCTATATTGGAGGTCTTTTAAGGTTTGCTATAATAAAATTTTCATTTTGTGTGCTGTCTTTTCATACGTTAAGAATGGTACCCAATTAAAAACAACCATACTTACCATGCTCTATTCTCCAACATGAACCAATATTTATTTTGGTTATGCTTCTAAACATTATAGCAGTTATGGGCTACTAGGCTGTTTGACTGCTCCGGACAGTAAAAACAAACGCGCGCACGCACACGCACGCACACACACACACACACACACACACACACACGCCTGTGTGCACATTCACATGCACACCAGTGACAGCCCACAGATTCGGTGTCTACACTAAACAAAGAAATAGTTTTCAGAATTCAAAAGAAGTATTTTAAGTCCAATTCAATTTCTCTACAGAATTATCTATTTATATTATAGGCACAGAAAATTATATGAACTATTGAAAATGACAAATTTAACACTGCATCATCAATATTTCTCAAATCTGCTAATTCTCATAAAATGATACATAAAGAGGATCTTTCGTAAGGGATCTTTTTAACCTAAAAGACTTCAAACTGTATGGTTTACTGTAATGAAAGTGCTGCTTTATCTAAAGAAAACTTGCTATGTACAGAAATAGCTCAGATTTTGTAACCTGCGAATTATTTTTAATTAGACTCAAGGAAAGGAGAGAAAACAAACTGTTTTCAGCTGTTTGATCGCTCTCCATTATCTGGTCTAGTGACCATACTTTAAGCGAAGATGAAAATATTACCTCAGCCTCGCTGGGTGGCTTGCATGCCACGTCCCAGTCCACACTGTGGGTGGCCTGGTCCTGTTAAAAGTCGTCTTTGTAACATGATTGCTTTATCTAAACAATGTTTAAGTTCTGTTGAAATTTTAAAGACCCGATATAAAAACTTTGTTTGGCCAAGATAACTGTTTTCACCACATGCTGTTTAATGGAGAACACTAAACTTCTATTCTGAGCCCAGGAAGAACGCGTTTCCTTCCCGCCCAGCCTGTACAGTGGAGGGCTGGGGTCTCCAGTCGGACTGGGGCTGAAACTTTCCTCAAGGGAAACTATTTTAAAGTACTTGCTTATCATTTTCAAAACACAAACGTACTGAGTTCAGTTTCATAAACTAGATACGAGAATGGAGCTGTTCACTGTTAAAAGGTCAGTCAGTTTCCAGAAGTTTGATATTACTCAACAAGTGCTTTTTTTGTATAATGGAAGACTCTAAAAGCATACAAGCCCAAATCAGAGTTTTCTCATCTTATTTTTATGTGACAAAAAATACCAATTAATAATTGAACTTCTTTAAAAATTTTGAAAAAATAGACAAAATCTACTTACAATGAAATAAAATGGAGAAATGTACAGTCAGAAATTATAAACTATAAAATCAGAATTTAATTTGCACAAAAATATACAGCATTTACATGGGAAGAATTTTGGTTTATGTGATGCTCAGAAATCACGAAGACAGTTTCTGCTGATAAATTAGTTTCATGTGAACCTCAATGCATCCCCAGCTCTGATGGCTGGAACAAATCACCTGAGGGCAACGTTACAGCAGGAAACCACAGCGGCCCAGACGCACTGCAGGGCTGCCTCCCGCAGGGCTGCAGGACTAACCTACCGCACCAAAGGCGGCGGTGCAGACAAGGCACCGGGAGTCATCCCCATACCCAGTCGCAGGCCAGTGCGTGCCCACAAGGCAAATCCGGCTGCAGTGGACAGGCGTCCTGAGAACCTTCAGCCTCCCAAGCTCTCTCCTCCCTCCTCAGGGAATGGCTCCACACAGTGACTCTGGACAGGCAGTGTCACTGTCATGGTTACACATGAGCCCATGATCTAGTGTCCGTTGTAAGGACATTCGGGCTGCTGCCACAGTGGCAGCGTAACGTGGAAGAAAGGTGACTTCTGCACCATCCCATCCCACACACGCCCACCTACTGACCGGTCCTTAAGACACACACAGTGAAATTCAGTTGTGCCAGGAACTGTGCATCTCGAAAGTGAGGCACATAATTCTAACAGGGCTCATCATTTCAAGCATGTGTATTTGAAGCAAAAATTGGTCTTTCTCAGTACTGCCACTCAAGACTGCAGATCACAACAGTGATTGTTAATCTGCCTCCCTGCCTCTCGGGAATCACGGGGGCTAGGGACAGAATAGAAGGACACCACCACACACACCCCACCACCACCCAGGACGACTTCTCACAGAAAGGAGCAAGCTGCATGAGATCAGAAAGTGACGTGTCAGGGCACCAAGGACATAGGGTGACCCTAAAATGTGCACTCACACCTGTGGCAAAATGAGGATCACGAAGGCCCCTACCACCCTGCTCTGCGTGTCTCTGGTTCAACGCAGACTCTGGAAAGTGACAGGCAGGCTGCTGTTCATCACGTAATGGTGGGAGGTGGGCGCCACAGTAAACAGTACTCAGTGCTGACTTAAACACCAGGTCTGGCGTGGGGTCCCACAGCTTTCCAGATGAGGAGGAGCCAGGAATGCACCGTGAGCACGGAGCTGAGCGCCGCACCCCTGCGCACACAGCCGAGGAAACCCATGCATCACTCCCCAACTTTACAGCAACTCGGGGAAAGCGAACTTCGGCTGGTTTTCCTTTCTTTCTTTACCACTGTCACTTGGTAAACGTTTACCTGCCAATCACCGAGGCAGCTTCCGCTTCTTTCCCAGAGCTGACTCCTCCCGACGCTCCCCAGTGTTGTATGACCTTGTGTTTGCATCTTACTTGTGGAAATGGGGTTAAATTCCCTGCTACTCCTTCACCCACACATCCACACTGGTGATTCCCAAATCCAGCTCTCAAGATGTGTTTGTGAACTTAAACTTTAGTCTTCCGAACTCTTTTCACCAGACAGCAGTAACGAGGACTATTTACGGAGCACTCGGGCTGTGCTAGGTGCTGTTCTAGGTCACAGTGTCACTCCTGGGCACTGGCTAGCGTCCCTCTAACAGGGGTATTACAGGCAGAGGACACACAGGCAACGGCAACAGCCAGAAACTCACTGCCAGGGCCCTCAGGGACCCCGACTGGAAGTGGTCTGACAGAGGGATCGGTGCCCTTTGCTCCCCTTCCTGCTCTGCCTGCTCCCTTCCTGCGGGAGCCCCACTGCTCGTGTCCTCTTCCCACTCCACAAGAACCAGCCTCGTCTGCCAGCACCCCTCTGCAGCCATTCGCTCTAGCGTACCCTCGGTCAGGGCCGGAGGTCTGACCCTGTCCCCTCCTGTTCCTGCCATCCTCATGCTCTGCTGGCTTCCTGCTGCTCCAGTGCAGCCCACTCAGACCCGCTGTATATCAGAGAGCAGAGCATTCTCTAAAAGTATTGTCATGGCAATACTCCTCACCGACCTGCGACAGTGCTCCAGGAGTCTCCGGGATAAAGGCCAGTGCCACATGACAGCAGGGGCAAAGCCAGTGTCCCGAGCAGCTTCACACACAGCCATGACCAGTCTTGCTTCCTGGACTGTGTCCCTTCTCCTCTCTGTAGTCACTGCCCCACTTCCTGCCACGCCCTGCCAGGACATACCTGCATCACGTACTCAGTGGCCCACCAGCCCCTCTGCTTCTCTGGTCACTTCCTGATACCCCGTAAGGCACCATGCCCACTACAATCACCCGTCCAACTCGCCTGTTTCAGTGGGTGTGAGGGTCACGGTAATCCTGGTGTTGGGGACAGACCAGGACCGCACATGTGCTCAGCAAGCAGAGCTCTCCCCAGGGTTACTATGTACAGTGCAGCACACCGTAACACATTACCTGCCTCCACATCTGCCTTTTCCAGGAAGTCACAAAGCCTTAGGACCAAGCACAAGTTCTACCTTTACATTCCAGGAAAACCAAAGGTGTGCTCAGTAAACACCAAAACCCAGTCCTGAGCCAAGGTGCAGTTTTCTTTCTATACAGAGAGGTAGGACAGCACAAGATAAGACAGGACGCTCTTGTCCTCTACCATGCTGGGGACCATGACAATGGCTACACAATCTGAAACCCAGCAAAGCAATCTCAATAATTAATAACCAACAGCAAAATTCTAGATGTTCCCAACTTCAAATGATTCCCCTTGCAATTCTTCCATTTTGCTATGGTGCAAAACACTTTCAATGGAGGCCACAGGTCAGATTCTGCCTGTGGACCTTCCCAGGCTGGCACCGTGCCCCTCGCAGGGGCCGAGGCAGGAGGGGCACAGCCCACGGCACAGGAAGGTCTGGGAAGGCGCTGTACTGCCGAGCAGGGGGACACGGACATCTGCTCTCAGATCTGCAGCACGTAAGGACGTGAGCTCCTCCAGGGTGGACGGTCTGTACCCCGCACCTGCTCTCCAGCCTTGGGCCCGACTCCCCGGCTGCTGGGGCCAGGACTTCACAGGCCTGGTAAGCAATGCTTGTCCAGCCACTCTGAATGAGCAAGACCCTGCTCTAAGCAAGCAAATGTCAACATCACGGGAGAAAGAATGTTAGTGGGGAAAAAGGACGACTGTTACAAAACAACTATGCTTTAAAAAGTCCTGAGAGTCTCATAAAAGAATAACCATTTATGTCAGCAAGTCCAACTTCATCCAAAGAAGTAAATTCAAATAGAAAATAAGTATGACACATATCTAGAACAAGTTCACAGTTAGGGAAAAAAAATATGTAAAACTATTTTTCTTACAATTTTTATACTACAATTCTAGAGCAAAAATTTCCAAATTAGACCTTTAAAGAAAAAAAATATATCACCACTAAGTGTAATCCATGAAAGAATCTCAGAATTTTCCAGAACCTAGTAAATCCCTGTCTTACTGACACAGACAGATTTCCTATGTCAGCTATTCTTAGTTACCTTTTAAATGTTACTGAAGTAATCTCATTTTTTGTACCTGTATCATGGTTTAATAACAACTTCTACAGTGAAAATACTATCCCAGAATAGAAAACACCCTTCTAAAACCTTAAAGTGTCTGACTGCTCTAACAGAAATACCCTCAATGAATATTGGTGTAGAATTCTGAGTACATTTATTTCACTGAAGTTGGTGACTTAGTTCCCCAACACAGAAAAAAGGCAAAAGCCTCAAAGCAAATAATAATAATTGCAATAATGATCATAGGAAAAGATTTTTAAGTGCTCCTGAATTCACAGATTTAGAATAAAGGCAACTGTTTAAATCTCAAAAGCCTCTGGCAAATCAATGCTTCTTTCTACAAAACTCTGTCTTATTAGGAAGTTTACGAACAGATGTTTGCACCATGGCTCCCACAGTTCTGGTCAATGACTAAATCGAGTGAGAGGGTAAAATCAGCTTCAGGCCATAGGCCTGCATTCATGGAATCTTCAAAGATCTAATGTGAGGACTCGATTTTTCTTCCTCAGCCTTTCATTCTAAGGGAATGATACGCTACACTGCATTTAAAAACAAGGAAACTCCTGTGGCATTCCTGCTTGGTATCAACAGCTAATTACAAGGACAAAGCCGTGTACCTTATTTTAAGTCACTAATCTTATCACAAGGATTAGATGATCTGATGAGTTTCTCCTTAAATCAGTGGGAGAAGTGGCTGGGATATAGAATGCCAGAAAAAGAATTAAAAGGGAAGGAACATGGGCCCCAAATCTTCCATACGTCAGTTTCTCCTGAACCCACAGTTCTTACTGTTTGCAGTTAGATGCACCCTTTACTGGCCTAAAATTTTCTCTAGAGCAAGCAAGGTGCAAACGGGACGCCCGCCACACATTAATCTGGAAGCCACAGCTGCCTGCCCTGAATGCTCACAGGTAAGGGAAAATGGCTTTCCCTGGCTTAGCGGGGCAAATTCTATTTCTTAAAAAATATAGATTTATTTAAATTATGGCTTCTCATAAATAAAATGGAAACAGAAGCAGAACACTCATTTTCAATGTTTCCACTGCCCTTCACTTTCATTACATCACTGCTATTCAGAAATGGATACTGAGAGTCGACTCACCTCCGTGCCCTGTGAAATCAGGCCCAGCCACCGTATCAGAGCTGGCTGTAAAGCCCATAAAGTTTAGGACAGAGGGACAAACTTACTGTTCAGAACATTCTCCAGTTTCTGCGTCATGGATCCTTCTACTTTTTCCGTTCCATCCGCTTCTAGTTTTTGATGGATGGCTAGGAAAAAACATCCAGTTACAACGGCAGCCATTTAAGGGTGGGAAGACACTACATCAAAATGACATTTTAAACAGCTGTAAAAAGCAGCCACACTATTTTCACCGCTGGAAAGGAGCATAAACACCACTCTGCAAAGTCCCCAGCAGACAGCATCTGAGCCGTTCAGAGTTTAGCACTATTAAAATAGCCCACAACATACATGTGTAATCATCTATCTGCTCCTCAAGACCGAGTGGTGAAAGGGTCTGGACGGGAAAACAAGGGGTAAAAGACGGGGAGACGTAAGCTTCCTGGGCCTCACTAGTAACATCACTGCTGTACAGCAGCCGTTCCATCCCTCAGGCCAGCATCCTCGAGGTGGGGAGGGGACAGGAATGGGGCTGAGGTGGATTCTGTCCGGGGATCAACTGCTGGTGACAAATGTAATTATTTGGTATTGCAGATGCAGATGAACATAAAAAAAAATTAAAAAGACAAAAATACTAAAATATGGAATCTATCAACCTCAAATAATGTAATTTGGCCTTGGGATATAATGTGGCAAAATACAGTCCATGTTCTCCTCACAATAAACAGTTTCCCAAAGGTTCCAAAGTATATATCTAGCAATGTCTGCCAATATATCAACTCTGCATGTATAAACTACACGAGTTGTTTGCCATTATTGGCTTATGGGTCTCTGATTCTGATGAAGATTATTAGGGAATCACTTCATAAAATATATTTAAAAACTTAAACCATTTAAAAGTGTAGGTTTTAAACAGCAAATCAGTCTTATCCATGTGAAGAGCTAAGTAAATTTTCAAAACAGTCAAACATAAATTCAAATAGCACACATTAACTGAACCATGACTACAAGCTAAGAAGTACAGTATCTAATGGACATTTGGAGAGCCATGAAAAGCCAGGGACACATGTTCTCACACCATTTCATTTCTTATCTGTGCCACTGTAAAGACAAGAAAACTAAGGCTCCACAAAACTAAACAAGGTGACCAAGGTTGCAGAGCCAAACCCAAAATGTGGACTCAGGCAACATGACCCTGGTGCACAGGACCTCCGCTCCCACGGCAGGGACCAGCAGCTGGGAAGGCCCACGACGCTGGGCTCAGATCCCTCAGATGAGAACAACAGGCTCACTGGGTCAGCTGGGAATTATATCCAGTTGCAAGTAACAGGCCTCCTCTCCCCAAAGTACTAGGAATTAAAGCATACAGGATTTCTCTTATTTGCCCTAATATGCTATAATGAAAATCTAAATGCAAGACCGTGAACTCCATGGCTTGACAGCTAGCTAGTGCACCACTGAGTACGTTCCCCAGCGTTCAAACAGTGAAGTTCTTGAAAGGAACTTAAGAGTGTATTCACCCACCAGCCAAAAGTGGCAGATTTATGATTAATACAAAAGCAAAAATCTGCCTGCATAAACCTGTGTGTTCCTTTCTTCCTGAGGTCCATACGATTCAATGCATTTCTCCTGATTCACTTGGTCAGGAAATTTGTAGGCAAATTCATCGCGCAAATGCACTGAGAACCTGTTTTCAATCCTTAATTACAACTATTTCTCTGCTCCTTTTAATTAATCTGATTTTTCAATATTTTTTCTTGTAAAGTCACATCAAGTTTTGTCTGTAATTCTAAATTAAGAGGTCAGCTCCACTGCTAAAAACAGACATTCATACAAAGAATGAGATACATTTGGTTTAAAAAAAAACAGTCGTGCCAGGTATGGTGGCTCATATCTGTAATCCCAACATTCGGGAGGCTGAGGCAGGAGGATTGTTGCCAGTTCGAGATCAGCCTTGGCTACAAAGTGAGCTAAAGGCCAGCCTGAACTGCACAGAGAGACCCTGTCTCAAAAAGACATACATAAAAAAAAGTCACTGCATTTTTAACTGTCTTGCTTAATTTCAGGAGTAAAGAGAAAGTGATTTCTTTAATGCTTCAAATTTGGGCTGTTACCAGTGACACAGAACGCTTCCCCTACATCAAAGCTGAACCTCAGTTGGGAAGTTAAGTGGCAAAGAACTTCCTTGTCTTTTGAAAAGTAGACAGACTGCAACCAAGTGTTAAAAAGCCAAACCTGCACACTCTACAGCGCTCAGACCGTCTGTTAAAGGCTGCTGTGATTTTTTGACAATTCACCATCAAAGAACACTGGGCAGACAGCACCTCCACTACACAGGGAGGGCCACCCTCGAGGTCACCGTGTGGCCAGATGCTCCACTGCTGACATGACCCGCTGTGGAAGGATAGGTCAGAGCGAGCAACCCTGCGGCCCAGCCAGGCTCCGTCTACAGCCCTTTCTGCTGCCCGAGCACCCCTCCCTGTGCCCCTCAGAGCAGAGCCACTGTCAAGCTGTCAGCCAGGCTCGAGCACCAGAGATGCTGGGATCTGATAAAGGCGATCCTATTTTCCAGAAAATTAAACCAAACCACCGATGTCTGCTTAACTCGACCTTTTATTTTCTCTGAAAACATTTTAAATAGAATAACTCAATAAGCAACCTGGTACATGATCATTGGTTTGTTATAGTTACTAATCTATTAAACTTAAATATGTGAAGCAGTTGACTGTCCCGGGTCTGCATTTGGGAAACAAAAACAAGGTATGTACAAAAGTACTGCTGGAAGAAAACCCAGGGTCATTCACAGAAACTATTCCATCGTTTTATTTCACTTGATTGAAATGGATGTGTCCTCTGTAATTTCCATAAAAAAAGCTGAAGTACTTGCCATGCACTCATACAAACGCAGCCCTTAGTGTGGAGGCCGGGACCCACAGGGCAGGCAGCACCTCCACGTCCCCTCCCGGGGTGTGCACAGCCACGCTCCAGCAGCTCAGACAGGCTCATGCCCTCCATGGACAAAGAAGAACAAACACTGGACCCACACAGCCATCGTCACGATTTTCTCCCCTCTTCTTTCAGCAAACCTTGAGAACTACAGCCACTCTTAGGGCCCGGCCTCGTGACAGCTGACCGTGGCTGCATCTGCCGGGTGCCAGGCTCTGGGGCTGCAGTGCTCACTTCCCACTGAGCCTTCCAAATGTGAGGGCCCACTTTTTATCCTGCCAAGCCTGTGCCTGCTCTGTTTCAGCCACTGATGTCTCCCAGGGCAGTCAAGGGAGGGTGAGGTGGGAGGAGGGCGGGGCAGCCCAGGTCACCGAAGCGACCACCCAGGCCGTTCCTCTTGCCCTCTGTGTTCTGTAGCCCTGGATTGTGAGACCGGAGCCCAGGGCCCAGGGGACGCCTCTGCTCCACTGACGGAGGCTCAGGGACCGCACTGGCTGGGCCGGCAATGCATCGTCCCCTCCGCTGCCTCCACTGAAGCCAGCCGCTGAAGCAACTTCAGCCACTGAACAGCCACGAGGGGCATGGATGGCTCATTTCAGGAAGCAGGGTCCCCAGCCACGGGGCGCACCAGGGCAGCAACGTAGCAGCCACAGGTGGGAGGGAAGGGCAGCAGGGCTCCGCGGCACCACCTGCACTCTGCCCGAGACCAGGGCGACTGGGATGCACAGGGAAGCGAGGGAGCAGTGCAGAGGCTCCCAGGGCTTCACATCACCTCTGCAGCCACAGGATGCGGGGCTGTGGCCAGTGCGGAAAGGTGGACACATGGCCATAGGAGCCCAGGGCTGCAGATGTAGGATCGGGACCCTGCAGGGAACAGTGGGGTCACACCATCTGAGCACAGAAGCCTGGTTTTAGGAGTGGATTCTCAGGACGCTGGAGAAAGAACAAACCTAAACTGCAGAGGTTGACAATGGAGACTCTAAACAGCACGCCGCACAACAGGCTCGGGCACAAAGGCCTGCAGACCCTCGTGGAGCAAAGTAAAACTCGCAGATGCAGAAAAACTTAGAGGACCAAGACCGGCAGCCACAGCATCACTTGGGAAGGGGGTGCCGCAAGCCAGAAAGGCCTCCAGGCTTCTCTACATGGGTGTCTCAGGGCTGCTGACCTCACCTTCCTAACTCCTTGCCTCCCTCTGACAGGCACTAGTGACCAGCATCCCCACGTTCAGGGGGCAGGAAGGGCCTGGCCGGGGAGGCACAATTCAGAGGGTCCACTGAAAGAGAGGGGAAGAGACAGGGGCAGGGACAGAAAGACAGAGAGATGGAAGGGGACGGGGGTAGAGGAGCAGAGACAGAGGGAGGGAGAGACAGAGACAGAGTGGTGCACACCAGAGAGAAGCAGTGAATTCCTGCGTGGCCATGGTGGCCAGCCACACAGGACACCTGACAAAAGGAAGGTCCTCAGTGCCAGACATCCAAGAATTCAAAACCAAAGCACAAACAACACACCTCACCACTCGAAACTAAAAATCCAAAGATATAATATTCCTAGTGATAAACATAAAGTCTATTAGGTTTATATGCATATACAGTAAAATGTTAGATAATGATGATAAAATTAAATGCAAACACAAAAGGAAATCTAAACAACACTCAGGAAAAATTTTTTTTTAAAAACTGGGCCTATAATTTCAAACTAAATTACAATTAGGATCACTTATTGGCCTTTTGGCGAAGATCAAGTGCAAAATCAGGAGAAAAGCACAAAAATGATGTGCTTAACTTAGAAGTCAACAATGTGTAACAGAATTTTAAAACATTTCTCACAAATCTCCAAACATGGTTTTCACAGGAAAGAAGAAGCAATAATTGAAAAAGAAAATAAGACAAAGTTTAGTTATGATAAATGTAAATGGCTTAAACTTTCTATCAAAAGGCAAAGGTTCTTAGAGTAGTACTGTAAAAATAAAAATCCCTTCACATGTTGCTCACAAGACACAGACCAAATCAAACACTTCTGAAAGTTTATTTTAAAAAAATTATGGATAGGGCTATGATATAGCCTAACATGCATAATGCCCCGAGTTAACTCTGAAGCTTCACCCATGGAGATGTAATTTTTACCAGCCCCGATCACTGGGCCTCAGAGAGAGGAAAAGAGCCTTCGTGTCACACATAACATGGGTTAAGGGGGCACTGGAAGCAAACATTTAAAGGATCAGGCCTTCAAAGAGATTCTGCCTTCTATTGCAACAAGTATTCAGCATACGTTTTCATCTCTGCTTTTATGAAAAAGGATTGGAAGTCACAGCCTGCAAACAGGAGGCACACACAGGCTCAGGATTCTGAGGGGCTGGCAGATCACCTTACCTGAGAGGGCGTCCTGGGCTTCGAAGAATGTGCTGAGCCCCCCCTTCACGCAGGCCAGGCTGCCCTCACTCTTCTTGTTGGCCTGTCTCTTCAGGTTGGCCACTGCCATCTTAAGCTGCTCAAAACTGAAACAAAGCACAACCCATGCGTCTGAGACTCCTCGCCAGCAGAAGAGAAAGAAACAAGGGCATTCATTAAGTGTAGCACACTGGCAATGTCAAGCCGAGCATCAGAAGCATGCAGGTTAGGGTTAGCACCCAATCACTTGACAATAAAACTCAAATTCTTCTCTACATCTAAAACCTTTATTGTCCTTAAATTACAACAGCTGGAAAGAATTTTGTAGTCTCAAATAGTAATTTCAAATAGGTCAGGCCCATAAGTGAGCACAGTATGTATTTTTAGAAGCTGTGTAGAGCAGAGCATGGCTTTCCACGTTCAGGCCTAGCGTGTCTGCTACCTGACTAGAAGACACAGTCCCACAGCGCTGGGCCACATTTCAGCCACAGGGCTCCCACGCACCCAGGCCCTCGCCAGCACTGAGCCTTGTGCTGACCTCCACGCATGATTCACAGTTCCATGTCCTCAATGCGAAAGTTACCTAAGACTTACAGGTCGGCCCACATCGCAACCAAGAAAACTTTCATATTTTTATGTCTCAAGCAAAGAAAATGAACAGGCAGGCCTCAGAAGCTCTTCTTCCATGTGAGTTACAGTAATCTGGCTGTAAGTCTTTGAATGTATTACTGAGCACCATTACAGCTCTACAAACAAAACAGAGTTCGATTCTGAGCTACAGTAAGAAAAGCTGGCTGGGCGCAGCCCTGTGACCTCAACACTCCGGAGGCTGAGGCACAAGGACAGAGAGTTCAAGGTGAGAACCAGTCTCAAAATGAAAACTCAAAAGGCTGAAGGTACAGCTCCGCAGCACAGGAACACTCAGGTTGGCACGCAGGACTGGGGAAAACAATGTCCGGAACATAAAAGTTGAATCACGTCTCCAGTAAAAAGAATTCATGTTAGACATCAGGCCAAATTAATACATACCAACTTTTCAGAAATAGTTTTCATCCTAATAAGCGCATGGAGAATTTGTATTAAGGTATATTTTAACAAGCTGACTTTTCTAGAACATAAAGTTTAAACAGTAAGCCATTTGTTTTTCCAAATATACTAAGTGTCACTTCTAAGTCAAACTTGCAAAGAAGTTGCAAATTTGCTTTCATACAATGAGGAAAACATAACTGGCACACAAAAGGAACACTTTAACCTAGATAGTGAGTGTCTACCTTTACCTAATTTTAGGTAAGGTCTTCTATAGTTCACTCCCTAGTAGGAAAAGCAATAGGCTTTGTATTTAACACAGGAACTTACATTTTTTCCTATTATTTGAATAGATAACATTCACACACATCGGTTTTTGTTCCCAAGTAAGATTATAAAAGTTTAAGGAGCTGCACAAATAATGGAACATACAGAAACATAAAACGGTGATAGGAAGTAAGAGTTTTCTAAAATTCTCATTTTCTAAGTAAGGAAACAGGTTCAGAGACTCATCCCCCTAAAGCTCTGTGACCGTGCCAACGGCCAGACTGGACCGTCAGGCACCCTGTGACCAGCACTGGCACCCCAGTGAAGCCCTGCCCAGCTCCCAGCCCATGGCCACAAACCTGGTGGTTGCATGGTTCTCGATGAGATACCAGGCAGCTGAGAAATTCTCGCTCGTAAAATCGGCACTCATTCCATGGAACAGCATTTCTAACTCCTTCTGGGGAAATTTACTTCTAAGGAGAAAGAGATTGAAAATATGTTACCACAGCCACTGCCACAAAAATGGGACAGACACTGCTGAGCAGCCAGCAGAACAAACACGAACATAAACCCTCATGGTTACCTGTGATAAACAACCGAGAATATGTTTGTATATACACCTGCATGTATTTTCTGTATCAGCTGGATTTCTATCATGTAAACTCTGTATGTATAAGAGAATTTAATTGAAATACAGAAAATACATCAATAAATATAGGGTTTAAAAGAACATTTAAAATGAAATAGACTTTTTTCTAAAATCTACCATATGACATGGTTCCTCACTAAAAAAAAAAAAAAAAAAAAAAAAAAAAAACTAAAACTAAAACTAAAAATTTGGATACAGTGAAATCTGAAAACATCAAATTGCTTTATTTGAATATTTCCATTAAGGAGCAGTAAGAAAGTTGCTTGCTGGGGATGCAGTTCCCTGGCAGAATGCATGCCTGGCATTTGTCCAGTCCCCAGGCCCCAACCCCAATACCTAGAAAGCAAGGGGATGCTGAGAAAGCCACCTGGAGCTGGGCAGCACTCATGTTTACACGTCTGTGTCGCGAATAATTCTAAAACAGTCTGGAACAACAACAGGCTACATTGTCTGCAGCTCCCTTACCTTGCTGACATTTTTAGGATGATTCATACTCCATATGTTGTGGGTTGGACTCTGTATACACTGAGATGCATCCCAGAGCAAACATGGGCCGCCCTGCCACGCTTGTGCCCTCTGAAGTGCCCAAGTGCCACGAAGCCCAACTGCCACAGCCAAGGGTTCCACAAGCTGACCTCACCTACCTCCCCCAACTTGTTTCTGCCACTGGAATCTTCAAATCCAAAGTCCCAGGAACCTCCAATAGGCTACACTCTCCAGCACAAAATACTCAATTTCAATGTGGTCTGCTGATTTGCTAGCCCTCTTACTAAACTACACATCTCTGACCTTGACCAACTGGATAAGCCTAATTCACAAGGTGCAAGTAGGACTTGATGTTGTTCTTTCATGTAGAGACTTTGAAATGCATTCGGTGCAGTTACCCAGAAGAAAATGTGGGCAGGGCCAATGATGTTTCCACTCGCTTTTACTTGGGCAAGCCATGGCGCTCTGTTATTACAACACAGCCTTAGTCCAAAAATTAGGCCACCCAGCCTAAGATCAATACTCCACCTTCATCCCAAGGTAGAATGTCCCCTCTCTTCCCAGCTTAGAGCAACTAGGTAACGAGGTTGGGGACAGGAAAGACTCTGCATCACCCCTCCACTAGTCACCATCTGAAGCTGTAGGGCCCGGGTGTAACAGAAGGGGAGGTCCTGCGCTTGTCACTGTGAAAGTATTTCACAGATGGCCTGTGCTCTCCACCCAAGGGTGATTGAATCCACTGGAGTCTTGCGGGTATTTTCACAGGTTCCACGAGGGCATGCTAGGGGAGCCCTGTAACTATGACTCATTCATGTCTATGACTGTTAATTCAGGTGTATCAACTCATGAGACTTCAAAACGCCTCTCAGATTAGCAAAACATACCCTCAGTGTGTCTGGCTGAGTTATGCTGGCAAAGCCTTCCATCTACATAAAACGTTCCTCTCTGAACTTTCCCCCTGCTCTGTTTTCCAAACACCATGAGCTAAGGAGCTTTGCTCCATCACCCTTTCCATCATGATATCCCTGGCTTGGAGCTGGTTGATCATGGACTGAAAGCAGGAGCAAATCTCCTTTAAATTGTGGGTGTTGGGTATTTGTACCTTGGTATGAAAAAGCTAATACACAAAGCTGGTACCAAAGAAGTAGTGTCATTACTGAGACTACACCAAACCACATGGGATAGAAGCCTCTAGAAATGGTTTGCTGGAAGAGTTTGGAAAGATCTGGAAATGGTACCTAGAGAATCCTTACAAGGCTGTAAGCATAGCCTGATAGTACCTACGGCTGGAGTTCAAAAGACTATACGCTGAGAGGAATGTAGACAGAAAAGGCCAGCAGATTTTGGTTGGGAACAAGGTCTCCTTGACCTCTGGCCCACAGGCCATGTGTAACAAACACTTCAGCAGAAAATCTGTCTGTATTCTGCTCATGTTCTGAATCACTGCAGGAGGCTGAGATTAAGGGCAATAGACTAATTTGAGGGTAGAAATTTCCTAACAGCTCAGCATTAAGGCTGTGGCACGGATGCTGCTGTTTACTTTAAGATTTAGAGTGAGAATCAAAAGCACAGGCAGAGCATAAAAATCAGAAAAATTTAAAGTTTGGTCCAGAGAGAACCATGGCCAAAGCTGGGGCCAAAGGAAGTATGGCTGCAAAAGGGAAACCATGCAGACTGTACAAGGACAAAAGAAAGCTGCCTTGAGTGTATCTTGAGAATCAACAAGGCTCTACCCATCACAGGCTCAAGGGTGCAAAACACATACTTTTCATCTGAGAAAAGAGTTTGGAATGCTTAAGAAAGTCTGCTTTATTTCTTTTCTTTCTTTTTTTTTTTAAAGTAAAAATGGATTTAAAAAAAAAGGAAAGAAAGGCGTCCTTGGGAGTTGGTTCATTCCCTTGGATTCACTGTTCACCTCACTCAGCTATCCACATATTGAGAGGCTGCTTTAGTCATAGTTCAAGGGGGCCCAATTGCTGTCAACAACCAGCTGAATATTATCCACATGATGCTGGTTTTATTGGCAGCTAGAATGTAAGAGCTGTGGGGTCAGGAAGGCTCTCTCCAAGATTTCAAAGAAGACCAGGGAGCCAGGAAAGGAGCCCCTGAGAGAGCAACATGTGAAGCTAAGGGAATGGAGCCCAAGGTACAGTGGAAATTTCAGGAAGCCAGATCACAGATGTGGAAGATCCTGCTAAAGCAAAGCACAGCCTGAAAATACAGCCAGCCTGAGAAGGGTATGGGCTGCAACAGCAAAGCCACAGGGGTGGGGCTGCGCAGCCTTCTGGAATTCAAGCGTAACCACTGTGTGTCTTGAATGCCAGGTGTGGAGCTGATTTAACATTTGCAATGCTGGGATTTCATGCTGCTTTGGTGCAATTCTTCTCTATCCCTGTGTTCCTCTTCTTTTAGAAAAGTAATGTTTACTGTGTGCCATTATACCTCGGGATTCTATGACTTGTTTTCAAGTTTTATAGCAAATGTCTGCTAAAACTCTGCCTGGAGTCTCAGAAGAGAGCTAGACTTGGACTTTTTGAAAAATGCTGGAACTGTCAAAACTCTGGAGAAAAAATTTTTGCATTTCTGTTTGTACCTGAGTAGCTGTGCAAAGTTAGGTGGAATTATGTACTTGCAGTTGTCTTCATTTGGAGATTAAGTATTATTTGAGATTTGGGCATGAAGTTGAGGAAGGGTAGACCATGACCTTTAATCTTCCTATGTCAACTTCACCAGATTAAAGAGCCATCCAGAAAATTAGTAAAGTCTGTTTCTAGGTGTCTCTATGTGTTATCTCTTCCTCTCTAACACTTTTCCCCTGCTCTGCTTCCCAGCCACCACGAGCTCGGCAGCTTTGCTCTACCACTTTCTTCCACTGTACCTCTGCCTTGGAGCCAGCTGATCATGCGCTGAAACTCAGAGCAAGTTAAAACTCTCCTCCTTTAAATCCAAGGTGTTGGGCATTATCTCGCCGCAGTAATAAGGAAACTGACTAATGCATCTTCACACTGGCATGCACTGCTCAGCCACAAGTTGTCTGGCTGCCTTACTGCACACATCTCCCTAGGCACAACTTCCAATGGCCTAAATCTCTCTTTCCAGAAATGCCCATCTAAATATAGGGACTATTCCTTCCTCAAGGCCACATCTACTTTCCAAGTGGGCTTGGTGTTCCACAGCTGCAAGGAACACTGGGTCCTGATGGCCTCCAGAGAGCCACACTCAGCAGGCGCAAGTGCAGGAGGTTGCATATCTCAATTCTTCTCCCTCACAGCCCAGCATGGCACTTCCTAAGAAAGTCTCACACATAAATAGAAAGTGCAGGGGAAAAAAAGGAAGTCTCACACAAATCCTCCCCACTGGAATGCTCCTGTTTCATGTTCCTAACAGAAAAGGGATGCAAGTAGCAAAACCAGGTCTCCAGGATCTCCTTTACAAACCTCCCTAGTGACACACCACTTTCCTCTGGAATGGAACAGGTGCTGTGTGAGACCCTCAGCCAGGACAGAAAATCCTACTGTGCATCTGCACAATGACCTTCTTCTATGGGAAAGATTCTTTAATAGGGGTGGGGGAGTCTTGCTAAACTATGCTAATGACTAAGGCTCAGAAGGGCGGCATCAACTCAGTTTAGAAACTGAGTCTGGCGTGCACCTTTTTTTACTTGCTACAAAAGTGAAACGATCTGTACTTGGAACACTCTTTAAGTGTGTGTGTGTTGATTCATTAACTTACTTGTATTTCTAAACAGTTAAAAATCTCTGACAGGTAAGTGGAGAGCTCTGCACTTTTATAAGCTTCTTTTGATACAGATTTTTCATGTTAGCTCTGATACTTTTGGAAGATCTCTTATTTCATTTAGTTGTACATCATGCACATAAGTTAGAAAATGCCTGAGTAGAGATCTAGAAAACAATGTGTTAAGGGCCAGCTAGGTCATTCAGAAAGGTCTCCTTACCCTACTGTCCCTCTGCCGTCCCACTGTAATGGGTCTAGACTGCTATGTGATGGATCATATGGCTTTGTCTAACTGCAAGCTGTCACCAGTGTGATGAAGAAGCCCATGGTGGCAGGCAGACTGTATTTTTGTCAACACTACTTCTATGGGGCATTCTCTATCATGCCTAATGGTTTTCTAGGTCAGGAAGTTAAATAAACTCAAAAGAACCAAAAAGCCCTACAGAATTGCCAGATGTATGATTATGAACTGCTTCATGTTCTTAACAAGGAACGCCTCGACTAACAATCGACTAAGATCAATTTGAAATGCATGTATTAAGGTCACAGTTGAGAAAAAGGACCACAATGGGCCTCTCAGAAGCCAAACTGACCGTCTGCAGC